AGATGTTTCTTCAAAAACAATAATTCATTGCAGGCTTAAAATCATAGGAATATACTCTCCTCCCATCGCTCTAGCAGGTTTGGCACTTAGGTGGAAGCCACCTTTCTGAGCGATTGTAAACAGCGTCATGTAACAGTCACGGTAAGTCTACCACCTGTACGTTTCTTTTAAGTGCCAGCGGTTTTCCATTTATAATTAAATTTCAATCTGCACCCTGCACCCTGCACCCTGCAAAAAAGACCTGCCGCTCGAAGGAGCGACTGCATCGTGCACAAATATAACCTTACATTTCTGACAATTTCCTTTAAAGGCCTCAGTCTTCTGTTCATTTAAGCGTATTTTACCAAATAACGAAAGAAAGAAAGCCATTCCTGTGTTCAAGTTCAGCCTTGGACGCGCAACTCACCAATTTAAAACGAAACGAAAAGGAAAAGGAAACCCGTAAACCTGCTATTGAATAAGAGCATCTCAAACAGCTCAAAGCTAGGGGTGTTTGTTCGCTTTTTTCTCCACTCTCTCTTTAAAGAAATGTTTGGTTCCATATTGTTCTTTTCTTTCGCCGAAGAAGCCGTGAAGGACAGAGAGCTCGGCAACCAAAAGCTTCAACCATGTGCAGTTGGTTTTCAATTCTTCGGAAAACTGATCCAAATTTAAGCTTGACTAACTTTAGAGAAACACTTTTACCGAATGCAATTTTCGTTTGTTGTCAGCTTGATAGTTAGGTTAGTAGTAGTAGCAGTAGCAGTAGCAGTAGCAGTAGCAGTAGCAGTAGCAGTAGCAGTAGCAGTAGCAGTAGCAGTAGCAGTNAGCAGTAGCAGTAGCAGTAGCAGTAGCAGTAGAAGTCTTTATTAAGAAATCAGTCACGACATACGTGTGGCTTTACAATCAATAACAAACTAAGCTAAACTAGAAAAAAAACCTATCAACGAGCAGTTTGAAGTTGTTTGTTTGCCCGAGATCGAGAAAATGCACACTATAAACTCGTCGCGATCCAAGAAAAATTCTGATTTGTCGCTTTGTCATTTTGAATGAACATTTTCGCGCGGTTTATCGCGCTTTTGACTTCATGTAAGCTGGACGATATTCAATATATACTAATCTCAAAAGTCTTAATGTTATAAAAGAAATGGTAAGCGTGCAGTGTGCAACTATCGAGTTATATATTCACTTGGGAGGTTTGCTAAGCACTCAAGAAGCTAGAGTCGCACTCGGCTATCGCCTCGGATGACTCTTACGCTTCTTTCGTGCTTAGCAACCTCCCGCATGATATATTTAACAAATACATTCCATGTTGCCGTGCTGTGCAGTAATAGATCACAGATGACGTCAAAATGTAGTAAAAACAAAAAAGTGGCACACGAGGCGATAGCCGAGTGTGTCACTGATGTTCTTACCACATTTTGACGTCTTCTGTGATCTATTACTGAACAGACGCACCGCAACATGGAATGTATTTGTTTTATATAATAACGAAACAAACTACTACAGATAAAGCTTTTCTTTTAATTCAAAATCTTCCAACATAACTCGAAGGCCGGCCTTTGCCCACTTTGGCGAACAGGAAAAAAAAGCCATTTGACGTAATGTTTTGTCTATACAATTGCAAAATGAAGCAATCTCATTGGTTGCTATGCGCAGCAAAGAATTGTGATTGGTCCAGGAAAATCACGCCACTGTCAAACTTGACTTGAGCGTCGCTTCTCGTGGAATGAAAATTTACAGCGAAAGCAGAATTGAACTGTGAAATCTACAAAGAAAATGCTGAAGGTCAAGTCGGTTTTGTCATCAGAGCGGCCCTGAGGGCCGAAAAGCTTGGACGTTGCCTTGAATATTGCAGGAGTTGAAAAAATACGCTCGGAAAACTTGCGGTTGTGGTTAACCTGGAGGCCATTCGATTCGAGTTTTGAATGAAAGGAGCGTTAGTGATGGTGGAAATTTATGTCCTCTGTGGTTGGTGATTCTCAAATCAGTTTGAAATAAAGTCGGAGACACCTTTTAGCTGCAATACAGTTGGCCGTGAGCTGTATTGAGCTACACTTTGCTCGCTGCTGTGCCCTGAAACGGACTGGAACATTCGCATCGGAAAGCAAGGTTATATGTTTATTTTAACTTATTTTAAGAAGCAGTTTTGATGTTTCATTCCTGACATCAATCAGTGTGTCAACAATTATTTTGAGACTGAGAAAAGTTGAATTTTTCAATAAATTAATCTCATAAACATTTTGTTTATTGGGTTTGTTAAATTCGAGATAAAGCAATGGTTCTCGGCTTGCCAAGAACAATTTTGCGTTTGGTTTAGTCTCGCTCGACTGCCGACTGAGACTGCTCGAGTATTTTTTCCGAGCCATTTTCTAAAAAAGAAACGGCTTTATCTTTCTCGTTCCTGCTAGGCTATGCTTCTCGTACCTGTTCAATGCCTCGACAAGACTTTTTTGTACCTTATCTTTTGCCCAGTCATGTAAAACATCTAAATTCTCAAAACTTTCCGCCATTTCAAAACGCAGAGGGAAAAACTTTGTAATGATGACGTCAATCGTGCGTCTGTCCGAGTCCTCTAATAGATCATAGGAGAGAACCAATCAAAATGCGAGAATGAATTGGGTTATGAAATAAAACTCGATAGTTGCACGCTGCACGCTTACCATTTCTTAATTCTAGCGAGGGCGGGATAGCTGCTTGGCTGGATGCCGTCATTCGCGCGAAAAGATTGACAGATTAAGAAATTTGCACGACATGCTTAATGATTGCAGATCTTTGTTCCAGTTGTCCGCCTCCAATTTGCACCAATAGTTAGATTTTCTTGTTTCCTGAGTAGCTCAACAAATTGAAGTGGACTATCAGCTTGCACCACAAATTGCTTTTCACTTCACATCTTAACGTCAATAATGAAACTGGAAGCAAATTATCAATGTCCTAGAATGTCACTGCTGCGTAAAATGAAGTAGCGACAGGTGGCTGGATTGGTTTCAGCTCTGTTCGAAGAATGATAAATCGTCGTTAAATTTCGTCTTTCTGTTATTTTTTGGTGTGCATCAACTTGTCCATCAAGACGAGTCAGTGAGAACACAGGATGTTTAACGTTAGGGCCCGAACTTAATTAAAACAATTATGCAGATGCCTTATCAGAGAATGCACCTTGTCAGAGTTTAAATTTAGAAATTTAAATGTCTAATAAAATGACAGCAGAAACTGCCTTCTCAAAGGCCGCAGCAACGGCTAATAGCGGAGCTTCAGCGCGCGAAGCGCGCCAGCGAAGCACCATGGGTAAGTAAAATTGGTAACCCATCAAGCCGAGAAAATTTGGTTATGACGTCAGCGTACGAGCGAGCGAGCGAACGCCGTCCGTACAGACTCTGGGGGAGGGGGAGGGGCGTCTCGCGGTAGCCCTCACGGGGAAGCTAGGGAATGCCATCTGTTCTGGGCGCGACTTTTCAGAAAAGTCAGGGGAAAAAAAAAAAAAACTTATTTCTATTTGTTATGTTAACAAACGATCGGAGG